GCATACCTTCACTTCCTACAACCTTCTTGTAGATAATCTTGCCGAAAGTGCACTGCTTACCATTTGTTATGCATTTCATGGAGCACCTAAACCTCAATAGAGTCTTGCACCTCATAGGCAAAGTGGTCGCCGCCAGGGTGAAAATCGTGTCGAGTACGTGGTCGCAGAGGTACGACCCCCCCCCGAAATCGAGAGATCCTGGCACGACCCCCTCTAACAGAGCAAATTAATTCAATTAAAATAAATCCTGCAAAACAATCAAAAAAAAATTCTGCAAAATAATGCTAAGGACGCTTCATCTTGTCATCTATGCACGTCTTCCATCGCTGCATACTTTTGTGTACATACTGAAATATCGACTCGAGGAAAGAGGCATTAACTTTGTGTGACCTCAAGGCGAGGTTCGTTCAGAAACGCACAGAAATCCTGAAGACACGGGGTTGCGATTCAATCTTGATTCTTGCTTGAGTATATCAAAACAGCCGAGTGTATCAAAGGCCGATTCAACGGCAGCTGCGGCGCGATTGTCACTGGGTCAGATTTGCCGAAATTTCAAAAAAAACGTCCGAATCTACACCCTCGATGAAAAGGTTGCATTCCTCCATTTCACAACCTTTGAAGCAGCTTGAGGTAGAGTTAGATAGAGCTGGATTTCGCGTTTCCAACAAGCATCGAAATTGCTCTGGAAGCCTTCCTTGCAGAAAGATAGGGTCTGTCAAATTTCGTCGAGTAAATGTCGAGGAGGCCGAAATTTTCACGCGAGTTTTTGCCACTTCAAGAGCAATATATCTCTTATATTGTAAGATCCTGAAAAAGGGAAGATAGTTTTGGAAAGCGGAAGGTTTGCGCTTCCTGATGGTCTGTTTAGTTTTCTTCTACAGCTTTTTGGTTGAAGAGATAATTGCGTCGAGGATCTATCGAGGTCGGATCCGGCCACCTGGAAATCCGCTCCCTCATTCACCATTGCAAGTGTGACTCGTTGGCAACACTCGGAATGTGTCTAGAACAATATCTTTGAACGCAAACAATAAGAATAGGAGCAATCGTCATCATCCGATTTGGTATTGGTATAAGCCATGCATCCCTCCTCCACTCACAGTTGCAGAATCGATTGAAAGGTGTTATATGATGGGGACCTTCGAACGAAACTGTATTGTAGTAGACATAGTGTGTTGTGCTATTCCTGTAACCTAAAAAACAACTTCATTTGCCCAGCGCTTTTTCTTCACGGTTGTCGTTTTTCCGACAGGGTCCCTAACAACAGCGTCATTCTCAGCGAGGTATTAAGGGAGAAGGAGCGAGTGATAGGCGGAGGAGGTGCCTTTGCAGCGCGTGCGCACATGTGGCACTCTTCTTTGCGGGGATGCACTTTCATTCTTTGTACTGCCTTCAAATACGCCCTTCTCATGAAGGTGGAGGAATGGAGCGACTGAACCTGCAAAGAAAATTTAATATCATGTTTTTTTTTCGGATGTTTTCATTTTCTGCTGCGCTATACCCTATTACCTATCTGCACCATGATACCACTTCTGTTACTGACCCCCAAGAGTACGACCCCCCATGGACCAGCCCAACAGGTACGACCCCCCTGTCGAGGATTTCCTCGACCGATATTCACCCCTGAGTCGCACCCCTGTTTGTTATTGCTTACAAACGCTCTTTGGCTACGTGTATAAAGAAAGACAATAAAAGGAGTCTCGTCGTAGCCGTCTTGCCCCCAATGTTCTTGACACCTTGGATTCGGGCAAAAAGCGATGAAAGAAGCGAACACGAGCGCAACACGAGTTGGCTCATGAGGGGAAGTGCAGAACGCTGGGTTTATCGGACACACATGTAGAGAGAGTGGACAGACAACAACTGCTCACAGCATCCGTTTAGACTGCATAAGCTCTCATGTCGCGACGGGGGGCACAGCAGAGACAAAAAGTTCAGAGCTGGTGTTGAGGTCCGAAAACGGTGATCGCGCGGGCACCGTTTTCATCGACGACAGAATTCCCCACATGGCCGGAGCTAATTTCAACGTCGAGGGTTGGCCCTCATGAGATTGTGGAGCCAGTGAGCAGGGAAGAATGAATTCGCACAGCATAGCAATCTTTACCACGGTTTGGCAAGGGGTTCTTAATCACCGGTCGCTCACACAACTGTCTGTTGAATAGCGAATGAAACTCGATTCAGACCTAGCTAACGTATGCTCCAGTGCACCATTTGTTACTAAGTATCTATCTCCGAGTAGGAATGACGTTCTTTTCTAAAGAACAAGCTTCTGCATAAGAGGCAAAAATTGTTCAGGACTGGTCTCATGGTACCGTCCCGATTTCAAGTCCTCAAATAAATGGCTCTCATTCTTCTCGATTTGGGCCTTAGCTGGACATTCTAGTAGGCTTATGGGGGGGGACAGAGCCCGCACTGATATGATCCAAACGTGGAGCTGAAGACTACCTTTCTCCAGAAAAGTTTTGAGAAGGCCCTCCAAGATGCCATGCTTGGGAAAATCTGGATTGCTGTTTCAAAGAACTAGGAAGCCATAGTTACAGCAACAGGGGGACTTAGCTAATAAATGTCATTCCTTTCAACAGCTTATCGATTGACTGAGAATTGTGTGTGACCACTTGAACATAACCTCCCCTTCAAAAAGCGAGAAAGTGTCGGGTGCAGACCAAACACCACAACTGACGACGGCCTCCAAGTAAATCTGGTTAGAAGTTGTTCATAGTGATAGCTGATTTCTGGTAAATGATAGTTGTAATTAGTGACAATCGATAGAATACAACTGCAACAGGCTAATCATTTCATTGGCAGAAAACATTAACATTTTGTGAAAGCCGTCGTCACTTGTGGTGCATGGTCTGCACCCGACACTTTCTCGCTTTTTGAGGGGAGGGTCGTCACTTTTGAGAAAAGTTTACAAGTTAAGAAACGTGTTGCAATATTTATGGAACACCAAGTAGAGCGTTTTCGGGGTTCTTGAGGCCATACTGTAGCTAGGACCTTACCGAAGTCCTGCGTCCACTTCGCAGGAGAATGGATACAATGAAGTGTCGTTCACTGTGCTCTCCATAGTGGAGATTCCATCCAGAGTGCTTGTGATAGACGCAGCGAGCCTGGCACGAGTTTCCTTGTCGAGAGTTTGTCGTTTCTGAATACAAACTTCTTCAGACAATCCTTTTCCCTCCGGAGTCGTGTACCTGAACCAAAACAGCCAGCTGACTCAATTCTTCTGCCACTTTCCTCATTTGCATAGCGGACGTCGTCATACTATCCAGCACTTCCAAATGTGAGGGCCCTTGTTGTGCTCTGAAATACCGCCAGTTTCCTTGTCATAACCATGAACTACTACGGAAAACCTGTTATGCAATCGCCCAGGTCCACGCCTGGTCCCCTCGGAGTTCATTGATCGAAATGTCAATGGGGATTTTCTATTTGCTCCGTCGCGCAACAAGCGAGCTTCAGTAAGGCCGTTCTCTAACACTTGCCAGAGGCGCATGCAAGGCTTCTTAAATGTTTTCTTGAATGAGACAAATCTGCTTGCGCAATATATCACAGGTTCTGACACCGTTTCAGATTCCCGCGTTCAGTAGGGTGCTGCTAATTCATTGCAGGGGGGCGATTTAACAGACATACGTCCCAAAGATCGAATTTTCCATCCCCGGCCAAGTAAGCCAAATCATAATGCCTTGCCTTCACTGACTCAAAACAGTGAATAGGTGGAGCTGTGCGGCAGGATCCACTAATTCATGTTTTTGAGTTCGAACTGGCATTCAGATGGCACCGATGTGGTCAATGGTAGAAGCATGCGTTACGCATCTCAGGAGAGCCTTTTTATTGTTTTTCAACAACGTCATGTGAGTTAGAGGCATGCGATAACGGCAACTAAAATTGGAGCAAGGAGAAAAAAACGGGATAAAAATGAGGAGTCCGGGGTCAAGGAAATGTTTTGAGGGAAGTGGGTCGAAGTGAGAAGAGTGTAATTAGTTGAGGGAGGCGGACACGGCGCGTGCGTGCTTTGTCTGGCTTCTCTTTCAATCTGGTCCGAGTGACTTACTATATTTTGAAACTGCTACGATGCAGCGAATGATTAGCGGCCACTGAATTAATCAGAGCACTACGACAACCAGAGCATTCGCCGCCGCGATGGATTCCCCATCCCCCAAACCCTCCCTCTGCACCGGTCAAACCTGTTGCTACAAGTAGCAACGGGGAAGTGTATTTCGATGAGAGGCATAGTTGTTGTAGGAGGGGGAGGAGGTCGTACTTGCTTCGATTGTAAGAAGTTGCATGTGATGAGTGGGGAGCGGCGCGGCAGAAAATTTGTCGTATGTAACATTTCATGAGGGGGGGGGGGTCGTAAAAACTTTTCGTATAACAGCAACGATTAGACGACCCGTAGCCAACTAGTGTTTCAATGCTACAAACATGTTCTGCGGCTGGTTCGTATGCATCAATCGGCACGGTTCAACTCAGTAAACTGCTTGCGGCTATTTTCTTATCTTTATCTTCTGTTTCTCTGGCCATCTCTTAGTTGTTTTCGTCTGCGTCTTGTTTCGGCATGACCTTCGTCCTTGGCTTTACGGCGTAGGCTTGATTCAAATCATCCCCCACTCCATTCCGCACATGCGCGCCCTGGCGTAACCACTGACATATTCACGGGGAAAAGCTAAATTTCGACAAGTCGCGAAACTTTACGTCGAGGAAAGTGATTTCTCATGCATAGGAGTTTGAAGACCCAACATGCGCCACTTTGGCGTGAGGAACGGCAGCGGATGACTTTAGGCAAAGGCCGACCCACGACCCAACCTGTTTGTTTTCAGATGGCGGATGGAGCATGTTTGTGTAGTCGCTAAAAGAGGATACGTTCTTATCGCGAAGAAAGGCGTGGATAGCAATGAAAGGCATACACAATACGAAAGTATATTAAAAAAGGATAAAGCATTTGCCGTTGATCAATCCCTTTTTGGGATGCGGCACGCATTCTACTTCCATTTGTACATTCGCAGTGGCATTTGAATGCGATGTGGCCTATACAATGACTTGCGGGGGCCAGCCGATGTTCAAGTCAGTGTTTTTATCCTCCCAGACAAGTCTGGTACCAATTAAAACTAATTTGAGGCGGCCCAATAGAGGGCTGGTTGAGCAACGGCGAAGTCGACCTGTCATTCCGTCCCCAGGACAGCGCGCGCCGGGTAAGCGGGCACTTGCCGCCTGAACAGTTTTCGCCTGAATGGTTATATGCTTTCTATTGGTTTATAAGCGGTACATTTTGTCGGGCGAGTTTGGGATGTTGTATGTGTGTGTGTATGTGTTGTATGTATGTATGTATGTATGTATGTATGTATGTGTGTCCGTCCGCAAAATGAAGTGAGTGAGAAGGAAGCTCATGGGATAAACAAACCGCTAACAAATCGGGTAGCTTACAGGATTTGAGATATCAATGTTTTGTAGCAGGATAGTTGTGATAACACTCTTAGGGCTATATAAACACCTGCTTAGCACACTTCCGTTCATTCCACATGGTGCTGCAGTGGCAGCTGGAGGGCAGTGGAGAGAGGAAGGGAGGATGAGGAAGGGAAGCGAAAAATCTACCGTCATATCATGATTGTGTCCCTTCTACTGTTTGAAACACCATTGTGTTGCATTTGCGCGTTGGGTTATCTCATCGGTGCTCATCAACGCTAATCTGCCAGTGCGGCTATAGTTCGACAGCCAGGGATGGGCGGGCAATGGCGCTAGCGGAGTAAAGCTCTGTTGGGTAGCTGAGGGCATATCTTTCGTTGCTAAACGAGTCCTAAATCGTCCCACATCCTTGGGGCCGCCTGCCTTTTGACTTGGTATATTCCCCGTCTTCGTCCTCTGAACTACCATGGGATCCTTCTGCAAAAGGATGTAACTAGCAACGCTTCAGTAGTAAAGGAGGGGCTCATTCCACGACTGGCTGAATGGCATGATTAAATACCCTGAAAATCTCATATACAAGAATGGTCTGAGCTAGTGCTGCTGTACTCACGCGAGGGGAGAAGGTCTCCACTGGTGTGCAGTTCTCATTTTCCCCGGAATCCTTCCCTTCTCTAAGTGATAGGCTCAGACTTATAGGGCGTTACCACCGCTCCATCATGTGGTCCCCCCTAACTACGTTTGCACCCTGTGTGCACAGGAGAGCGCAGAAAAGGCACAAAATTGAGCGATTTAAATGGTTCCGACTGAGTGTGCGAATTTCTGCCCGTGAACCCGCGCAGTGTTCTCCTGACAAGTAACGGCTCCGCTGCGCGACGAGCGCGGCATCGCAAGTTGAATTGCGCGCTCTTGCCATGAAATGTACCGTACTCCGTACACGACCGTCCAAATTTGAAGTAGGATGAAAATGCGCATTCTGAAGGGTTCCCGGCGCAATGTGGCTCGGGGGGGGGCAGCCGCCGCGCGCGGCGTTGCGGCAACAGGAAATTCGTGAGCCAGGGGGAATGTAGCCAATTCAGGGGGGTGGGGGTGAGGGCAGTCACTTACATGCGTGAGAAGCTCCGTGAGAAGCTGGAATGTTCGAGTTACACTACTTCGCTAGCCGCGCGCGCCCCGAGCCGCATTGCGCCGGGTTCCCAAACACTTCATATAACTCATTTTTCTTTGAAGGTCAAACATCTTTCCTTCTCTTTTTGTTGACTACGAAGCATTGTGGTAGCTGCTCTGGAAACAAAAGAACAGTTATCTGCCTTTCGAAAAGCATGAAATAATAAACCGAAACGCACTAATATATGGTTTACTGATGTTTACGATTTTGCCAGCAAAGTAATCCAACGAACCCTCGAATGTTGGGGTAAAACGAGCTTACGTGAGTCCATTCATACCGTCAAAATGCATAGTCCGCATTCATGGTTCGTGATACGGGAGCAGGGTTAACCGCCCGCAACCGCGCAAAAATTTCACGACCGCCTCTCCTCGATACAACCCCCCTCCCCAGCTGTTACTATAGTATTTGATTCTGAGACCAGTTGACACAACCCAACTCCACCCACATTTCCTCCAAAAATTTTTTCTTAGCACTCACAAAGCGCGAAGGTAAAGCATCACACTACGACCCCCGTTGGATGGTTTAGGATTGCACTGCTTACGAACTGGCGCCAATACGACCCCTCTCGCTTTTCGTCGGCCGAGACGACCCCTCGTGGGCTTTGCCACACGGACGGTTGCCCTGCATGAAATTAGGGTAGAAAAGCGACAGAGAATCAGGATAGTTGTAGAGTAGGATGTTGCATGATGTTACAAGATGAAATACGTATCGATTGAAATTCGCTGGAAAGTAGTAAATTAGGCGTCTTCAGGCGAATCGATCAATACGTATCTGATCTTGTCAGCCTATCCTATTATCCTAATCTACTACTATCATATCTTCCCCGTCAATGCATATCTTATTAATTGTCGCGTACTATCGTAATCTCCAAAGTCGCGAACCATGAACGCCGCCCTTGAAAACCCTTCCATTTCAAAAATTCTTTTTTTTTTCTCGTAATTGAGATTTTGATCAATAAGCGTGAGAAGAAGTCAAGTCTGCCTTTTTTATTGAGAAAACATTAATCCATAGTTTTTTCAGCTCCTCCACCACAGCGAAGCGATCCGGTAGTGACAGATCAGACGACTGATTCTATGACAGCGCTACTTCTGCAGCATCGACAGGAAGAAAGAACGATGTAAAAACACTTACTTGAGCACAGTGCAATAATTGAATTCCTATGATAGATCAATTTTTGCAATTGCGCTAATTTATTGAATGACTTTATTTTTCACAGGAGTGGCGGTACAGCAGCTACGGGCGGATTGTTAGCAGCCTCGTCCACTGACGGCTCGCCTATCCCACCAAGGTGAGCATTCTCTTTTTGCTCACTCGTGGTGTTCATGAGGTCTGTAACAAGGGGCAGGGGAGATTGCGGAGGGGTGAGAGTAAACAGGAATCTTGGTCGGTCAGGGTTATACTTCGCAGATTCAAAGTGTGGATGGAGAGATACGTCGTCAATTAATGCGAGTTTCTTGTGGTCGCGGCGATCGGCAACGATTAGATGTGGAGAGGACGGTCCACTCAACAAAATAACGCTGGATCGCAAAATCGCAGAATCGAAGGCTTGCAAAGTATGGAGCCTGCTTTAGGCAAAATAAGCACGCGAGTCTGGACAAAACGATTCACACTTCGGCTAACACTGAATAGAGATGTTGGCTGTGCAGACTACATAGCGTGCTAGAAGTTGGCGAGTTGAGATTCAAATCAGGGTCAACCGCGCGTGGAAGAAAGACCAGGGGGAGGGGGTGTACCTCGGGTTAGTGGGTGTGCGATTGTGGTAGAGAGGGTATCGTGTTTGAGATTTTTGGAGGGGTCGTGGTGGCGGAGTGTGAGTCTTGTTAGTGAAGGGGATGATTGTTTTCCAGTTTTTGTTATATTCTGGATAGAAAATCAATGAAATAGTGAAATAGCATAAGCTCGAGCGCTGCCTTCCTCACTAGGTTCTGCTTTACCTCTACCATCATCGATAGCGTTTTGGAGAAAAGCTGGGGCGAAGTTGGAATGCGTTGCTGGTGTCAGACTCAAAGAGCCAAATGAAACCATGGCAGTGGGTCGATGGGGGGTGGGCGGGTTGGGAAGCACCGACGATGGTTGATGTAAGGACTAGTAGGCCGTTTGGGGGGGGGGGGCAGGTTCGTGAAATTGCGACATCAGCACGAAGTACGGCACGATGCTTGCTATCTTATGCGACCGAACAAGCTCTAGCAATATATATAACAGAAGATGCACATAATCTATTTTTTTCAAAGTAGATTTTCGATTTAGCCTCGTCGAGAACGCCGAAAAGCCTTACCCGCAATTCAAAGCCCCTCCGAAAGGATCAGCTTTGCGGTACATCAATTATTTCATTCAAGCAATTGCTATCATTAATCCGCTCCTCTTATTCAAGGCCCTTGGGCGGATGATTCTACAACGAACCGGTGTGCCTATAACACATTACGAACCGCTCACTGCTCTACAGGTACGACGCCAGTTTTTTTGGGAGTCACACTCTTCGAAAATCAAGAGTGTTTTAGTTGCTCTGCGAAGAAATGAGATATTCGAAGTTACTCGATCGGGCTTGTACAAAAACCACGGCGGAAGAGAGAATGGTTTATGTGAGTTGCACTGGTGCATTCTTCAAATGAGGTGTCGCTTCAGTGAATGGTAATTCTTTTTCCCTTTCCACTCCCCTTACATTTACTTGTAGGGAAAGACAAGCTCCATCAACTGCACTCGCACCCAAACTCATCAGAAAAGATACGCATTCTACGGAATATAATACTTCCCCATCAATGCCCTGAAATTACTCAAAGGCAGATGGTACGATAAATAAGTCGCCCGCGCTGGCAACGGAAATTGAGCTGTCAAGAGTACAGCAATGAAGGAAAAGCTGAGGAGCGCTCCAAAGATCAAAAAATCGTGACCTTGCATCCCCCATCGTTTTCCGCCTCGGGTGAGTCTCATAGTGGTACGTATTCTGCGCGGACGCTCCTCTATGTCTGGCTGCTAGAACGGCCGAACCCCGACGCGAGGATCCAGCAAGCTATCAAATGCCTAATAAGGCACGAGTGGCAAAACCCTACAGTCGCTGAGGCCTACCGGGTCTACGACAACTTGAACACGCGGCCTTAAACCGCCTCAGTTAAGTGCTGTCGTCTGCGCTCTCTTACCTAAACGACGGCACATGCATCTGTGATCTTACACAGTCAAACCTTTGGCAAAGCTGTTATTTGCTCACCTACCCCGCAGTCCCTTCACTCACCGAGGCTTAGTCTTTGTGTTCCATCTTCCTCTTTCTGATTTGGAGCCGAACAGGTAGTGTTCTCTGGTCGTCTTTCTCTAAGCTCGAAATCCAAGTGGTCACATGATCGGAAAAGCCACAACAGTCTAACCTAAGATGTCGGTCAGACTCTGCGATTGCATCGCGCGATGCAGTCGCTCTGCCAAAAGTGCAAGCGGTGGGCAATAGTCTACACCGATGTCGACTATGGTCATCGATGAGGGCGGGGCCAATCGCCCGTCGCTTGTGCACATTACAATCGCAGAGTCTGACCGACATCTAAGACCGCAAAAGCGCCCTTTCTCGGCCTCATAGAGTTCGGCCTTCTTCTGTAGTATACAAATTCCCCTTTTTCAAGAGCCCATACATCGTGTCACCTGCCGTTGAAGACGCACTTACGATCGTAGGTAATATCATTCCGCTCGAAAGTGGCAATTGAGTGGAATGCTGCGAAGAAAATCTGAGAGTGAATTCCTCGATAACACCGAAAATAATGGCCCTACTCTAACGAAAAAAATACTATCGGAGGTGTAGTGACAACGATACCCTGTACCGATGTCTGTTGGCTTCCTTAGAATGAAGTCAGAGCTACAGAGGCCGTTAACGATGTGAAATCAGGCAAATGTAGATGTAGCTGTACATATGTCAAGTAATTGTGATAAAGCGCCTTTGTAACAGCGGTATCACGCCACAAAAGGTAACTGGCCGACCTTGTTGGCGGATCCGGCTGCATGAATGTGGACCTAGATTTTATTTTTTCCCAATGTTCTCGTCTTGAACCCGTGCTTTTCCGTTCAGAATTCATTGACTGTCCAAGGGAGGGTTTCATGTCCAGAGTTTGCAGTGAAGTTTTCATTTTTTGGTTCAGTACCGATCACTTGGTCCCTCCAAGTTGGTTTGCGAAGGTAGTATGCACACCCATAAATGAATTAACCTTTTTCTTCACCGATTTGAAGTCATAACTTTCTCATAAAGCACTTTTAAAAAGTAGCTATCATAATTTTTCCCATATTGCAGGTGGCCGCCTTTGCTGTGTCCCCATATCCGAACTCGACTGGACGCTTCCGCAAGTTTTTCAATCCACTCCTTGGGGAGACGTACGAGTATGAGCAAGAAGATTTCAAGTATCACGGCGAGCAGGTAAAATTCAAATTGCTCAGCAGCAAAAATAATAGCGGTCCCGGGTGTGGTCTGGACGTCAGGATTGCGGCGCCTTGTGGAAACTGCATATGTGCCAACACGAGCAGCGCTTCTTAGGTGGATGTCCTGACTCAGATGCCACCTAACCAGTCGCATTCATAGGGCGTTTTTTAAGAGCAACAACCCCAGATCGAATTGGTGAGGTGGTAATGATGGCGTGGAACGCGCGGGACTAGACGAGCTTTTTGAAGGCAACCGCACCAATCGATGAGGCTACCATGTCTTTCTACCTGTCGGCTACCTCATACATCGCACTCGCGGTGAGGGAACTTTCCAAACGCTAGGTTAACCGTCACATATCCCTTTTTGTAGAGCCGAGGCCTAGCTCGCCGCTTACTTTCCAACCAGGGTCAACCGTCACGTTCGAACATTTTCGGGATTTTTGCGACCCCCTAGCTCTCGAGGGGGTCCAGTTGCGACCCCCTGTTTTTGTTAATAAGAGTGCTAGACATGAATCCGTTGCGCCAGAAAGCGTCTGCGCCGCCGCAGAAAGCGTCTGCGTTGCGGCGTCAGCCTTGGAGCGCGGCAGGTATCACCCGGGCGCTGGAAGAACGGGACGCGGCGAAGAAAAAATTTTAGAGGGGAATAACTTTCTTGGGACGTATTTTTTTGACTTGTTGAGGTAGATTTTGATTGTGCCTGAGGTGCGCTTCCAGAAAACTACAAGGATTGCCTAACTCTCCGGAAAGTACTTCTGTTAGAAGTGGAAAACCCAAAATTCTAAGAAGGCGCACCTTCAACTTTGAAGGCCCATAAAATCTTTCGTATGCGACATTTTGGAAATCTGTAAAAAGTTTCAGAAACTTCAAATATTTCTCTAACAAAACAGTATAAAAAGTTTAGTGATTGTCCCCTTTTTCAAAAAATTGTCCCGTTCGAACATTTTTCGTGCAAAAGCGAGTTTTTGGGCTTTCAGCGACCATAACTCACTTCATTTTCATTTCTGTGATGCACTTTTTTCATGGGGTGAAAGTACAGGATTTGCTCTTCTAACAAGCCCCAAACCGTTTTTCCAAAGTTCATTTTTCGAGAAAATCACACGTTCGAACATTTTGGGGGGTTTTGCCGAACACTTTTTTTTGAAATCGCGAGTTTTTGGGCTTTAAGCGGGCATAACTCACTTCATTTTCATTTCTGTGATGCACTTTTTCATGGGGTGAAAGTACAGGATTTGCTCTTTCTGACAAGCACCAAACCGTTTTTCAAAATCATTTTCCGAGAAAATCACACGTTCGAACATTTTGTTCCCATAGGTTTTTGAGCAGCACATGCGAGTTTTTGAGCTTTCAGCAATAATAACTTCCTTCAAAGAACTTGTTGGGGAGGGGCGAAGACATTTTTGAAGACTACGAGATTTCTGCTTTCTTATATGTTTTACCGTTGTCTGGAAGAATCGTCCTCAGAAAATTAGGTCCCGAAGAACTTTAATTTCAGCCCCGAGAAGTCAAACCTTTCATAGGGATGCATTCAACTGTTCTTTATTCCTCAAGGAAACACTCACCGTAATTTGCTTAAAACTGTCTCTCTGTGTATAATTAATCGAATCTAATGCGGTCTGCACAAACAATTCTTGCCCTCGATATCGTCCGCACGCACAAAGACTTTTTTTCGCCTGTGGCTGCACTCCCCGACTGCGACCGCCTTGCCGAACCGAAAATGCGAACGTCCCTTCGTTCGAGACATTCGAACAGACGGTTGACCCTGCTGTTCAAGACGCAACAGCGACACATCTGTAATAATTTTGGACTACTCTATGCCACCAACTGAGTAGATTCCTCAGCACGATTCTGCTGGGGTTGTTGTCCTAAAGTAATTAGTTCTGCGAGCCATCAATTCGGATACCCAGTATGAGATCATTCGCCATATTCGCGGCACTACGATCCTTATTATCACTGCTTCCTAAATGGAACTTAAAGGCAAGAATCAGGATTACATTGATGGGTTGATTCCACTCAAATGTGAAAGTAGGGATGAGAGGTGGACCGCCAATGGAGAAAAAAGGAAAGAAAATCCTGACATGCACAGGAAATACGAGCATTTTGCTCAATGCTGTGGAGAAGTTCAAAAGACAGGGAGGGAGATGAGAGATAATGTGAGCGCAGAGGGTGGTAGAGAATTCCGAGAAGAGAGAGCATAGCAGATCAACGCAGCGACGCAGACAAGACATCGATCGGTGGGCGGACCATGTTATGTTTGGTGGAGTCTGTTAGAAGTTCATGGCGCCTAGGGTCCTGGTGACGGGTTTCGATGTAGAAAGGTGGCTGCTAACTTTGCACTTGCGCGCCC